TAGATAGTTAGTAGGGTTTATCGGACCCTCATTAACAATTACTTTTATGGGCGGGATGCCTACTTTCCTCGCGATCTTTGTCGCTAGCTCAGTGTTCTTCATGAGCCCCTCTGGGATACCCCTAATGCGAGTCCACAGCAGAATTCGATCCAATTTATAGTCTTGACATTGGGTATGCCGTCATATTCAGCGATCACCACTGGCGCACCACGGAACTCCCACGGGCCTCCGTTCATCACGCGGTTCCAGTCGCCCAAACACAAAAATTGGGCCAAGAACAGGTTGCTGCCCCTGATTTTGAAGGTAACACCCTGAGCAGACACTCAGGCATTTCGCATCGATTTGAATAAGGCCACATGGTTGAAGGGTTTTTGGGTGTGAACCCTAAAGATCCTGATCCAGCGTGTTTCCTCAATCAGTCCTTCTATTTCTTCTGACAGATCCAACACTTCTTCCTCTTCTCCAGGTAGAATCAGACCCACAAATCGATCTTCCAAGGAAGAATCATGGTGGTAATCTTTGTTGTACATGCCGCCGGCAGCAGCCCTAGGCGGGGCCGATCCCGATCCCGTCTCCGCCATGTCGCCTGGGAGGGGTACTCGCCAGAGGATATAGGGAACCCTAGGAGACCCAGGGCAAGTGGGGTACGTGAAAAAAAGAGAGGTAGAAACCTACTCCGTGCTGCTCTTTGGTTAATGGAATGAGCAAATTTTCAGATGATTTTTTGTTGTTGCCGTCTTCCTTTTATACATGGAGTGAGATCGAGATAATGATAGTTAGGTGTCAACCCAAAGGATCGCCATTCGATTTTATTCCAAGGGCTCAGGAAAATGGTTGCGTATTTTTAAAAGGGCGCCACGCCAATGTGTGACGACAAATTCTAGTCTTAGATGCAATGTTGTGCGGCTCTTCTTTTTCCTCCGACTCCTTGACGCTTCCTCCCTCCTCATCCCATGACCTCTTTTGCTGCCAAATTTGCCGACGTCCTTAGATTCATTGTCGTCACGTCCAGATAAGGTGTTTTTCTAATGCTATTGGGACACTCATTAACCGTCTAACACATGTGAAATCTCGTCGCCGCGTCGCTCACCCCCTCATCTTCTTCCTAGCACACACCAGAGGCCGAGTCAAGACGGCGAGCTTCATAGAGTAGTTTTTTTTTGGGTAAGAAAATCAGACATAGCAGACATACATTCTGGGCCGGGCTTTGTTCTAAAACAAAAAGGACCATAAGTGGAATGTTGGTTGAACCCTCGTACTTGCTGATAGTAGTGGTCGTCCGCCAGTCCACAGCATCAGTTCAGTCCCCACCCGGTAGCACAATTCTAGGGTTTCCTTGTCACTGCCGTCGGAGGTGAGATCCGGGCGTCGATGGAGGCGAGTTCGGGGCCTCGCCGGAGTTCCACCCAGGAGCCAGATGGCCCAGGCGACGGGGAGGACCTCATCAGCGCCCTCCCCGACGACGTGCTCCTCCTTGTCCTCGCCCGCCTCCCCTGCGCCGCCGACGCCGCCCGCACGGGAGTCCTCTCCCGCCGGTGGCTCGGCCTCTGGGCCAGCCTCCGCCAGATCGTCTTCCGCGGCGTGGCCCTCCCCTCGCTCGAGGAGGCGCTCGGCCGCGTCACTCCGCCTGCGGTTTCCCTCCTCAAGATCCGCGTCCCCATCAAGCAGCAGCGTGGACCCGTCCCCACGGAGCACCAGACAGACAGCGCCGGCGTCCCCATCAACTCGCTGCTCCGCGCCGCCGCGCGGCTCGAGCCGGAGAAGCTCGACTTCCGCCTCCCCGCCGGCTTAATCGACCGTTCCCTCGCTGTCGATCTGCCTTGCTTCCACCGCGCCACCTCTATCGCGCTGGACCTTTCCCCCATCACCCTGGCCCTGCCGGCCGGCGCCGATTTCCCCGCACTCGAGACGCTGTCCCTGGCGCGTTGCAGTACCGACCTCGACGCCTTGCTCTCCTGCTGCCCGCGCTTGCGCACGCTCCACCTCAGCACGGCCCGCGACATTAGGGTCAACTCGCCGTCGCTCCAGGAGCTTGTCGTCTGCTGTGAGACCAGTGTGACACGACATGTCGACATCGTTGCTCCTGCTCTTAAGCAGTTGGCCATCTCATTGACGGCGGTGGACCTCAGCATCTCCGTCTTGGCACCAATGGTGGAGAAGGTCTCGTGGCACTGCCTATACTTGGGACCGCGTATTGTGTTTGGTGTTTGGAGCCTCAACAAGGTGCAGCTACAGTCGGCGGAGATACAAGGAGAGCCATCGTCGCTGTGCATTTATGCCTGTGCGGTGCGTCCCTTTTACTGTTCAATCTGCTCCAAGGCTCTGACTAAACTAATTTTGTGAATGATATCTATCTATCGTGGCAAATTGTTTTTTCAGTACTCTGGCTTCTTTCGCGCTCAGGCGAGCCACTTTAAGCAGGAGATTGAGAAACATATGGTTGCTGCTTTCTCTGGTTTAGAGCTTCATCTCACATCGACGGGGCATGCTTTTGGAGCATTAGTGTTTCATCTTCTTGGAGTGAATCGAATCCGTACTGCTACGCGGAGGCTTAAGGTCGTCCTACAGAGATCAGTGGTAATTCTCAGCTCTGATTATATAACCCAATAATACATTGTGTATTTGTGTGGTTATTCATATATGTTCATTTTTTGTTTTAGTTGAAAGAAGTATGCCCGCCATACTGTCCTTGTGAGTCGAACTAGAGGTCCCAGACTATATCCTTGGATGCTCTCAAAGAAGTGGAGTTCAATGGATTCGACGGAGCGGATCATGAGTTTGATTTATTGGAATTGGTACTTGGATGTGCACCGACACTGAAAAGAATGATTGTCAAGCTATCCGAGGAGACCTCGGCAAGTAATGATGGATGCGCAAAGATAGACAACATCTTCAAGGCATGGTCCTCTGTGGAATGTGATGTTTATCACAGCTCTGGTGAGATATATTTGGCATGCATTATTAGTATCTTGCTAATGAAACACAGATATACTCCCCCGGTTTCCGAAAAGAAGGCTTATAAATATTCTCCTAAGACAAACGGTGCAAAGTTTGACCAAGTTTGTAAAAAGGCCATAGTGATACTAATTTTGTATTGTAGTTGTTGATAATTTTTCTTATATAAGTTTGTTCAAATTTTGCACCATTTGACTTGAGACAAAATTATAGGCCTTCTATGAGACGGAGGAAGTAACTGTTAATCGTTGTGTAAGATTTGACTGATTTGTTGAATTGTGGAGTTGACATGCCAATTATATAGTTTGGTTGTGTATGTCTAATTTATTAGCTAATTAAACATTTTATATTTCTGCCAAATTTGTGTGCTCAGATGCTCATGTTTTTTTTTATAGAAACTGAAACTGAATGGTGGATTGGATGATAAGAAAAATTACGTATTTTTACTCAGGCTTCCTTACCTAAATTGCTCTTTTGCATTTCACAATCTTCTTCACAACCAAACTGAATTCATCGGCCTTGGGGTTTGGTACAAATTTTAGTTCGATTTAAACTTTATTCAGCAATTACTTTGTATTCCTTTCTGCTGTCAGCGTGTATTCGTTTCATTTCTGGTTTTGCATCTGTATTCAGTAGCAAAAATACAGTTCCCAGTTCTCAAAAATAAAATAAAATAATAATACAGTTCCCAGATAACCTAAAGTTTGTTGTCCCATCTAAGTTTTTCATTGGCCTTCGGGTTTCTTTCTGCTCTCATCATATTGTATTTTATTTGACAGCATATAAGAATAATACAGGGGGAGTCTCCCCTCTGTTCTCATTCTTTTTTGATACTGACTTGAGCTTGTTTCTATTTGTCTCCTCTTCAGGGTTAATGCACGGCAGCCAAAATTGCCCGTCGACATGATTCTCATCCTCGGGTCTCTTGATCCTGTGGTGTGCATTGACAAGATCATCCTTAGGTCTGTGGATTCGTGGTGCCCACTGACAAGGTCTCATGACTTTGCTTGGTTGCTTGAACTGATCATCTGGCGTGTTCTTTTGCCAGTGTACTGTACTGGTTATATATAAGGTGCTCAGTTGTATCTTATGGTTCCTATGCCGTTTGACTATTGAATTAATGCACTCTACCTATGTTGTGAGTCAATTACTCGAAGCCGACTATCATGTTAAGCCTATGGTTTCCGTTCTCATTTTGCGCTGTTTCATTGTGACGACGACATTGCATGTTTTCAGCGGTAGTAAAATTATCTGCAGTGAATGCTCCCCTTACCGCTCTTAGTGCTTATACAGTGTGGTTGGATGAACCAAACGGCTCTGTGAGATAGCTCAGTACCTTAAACTTCGAATTATCTTCTCTTTTCTAACTGCTGCACTGCACCCTATATGATGGATTGAAGATGCATCTTTGTGTCACTTCTGTTTTAGCAGAATCTGTGTCATCTTGTGTAGATATGCAAGGTGCAAGTTGATTCCTGGCGATACTAGTTGATTGAGTGCAATATATGGCAAGAAGTATCTGGGCTCTTGTTAGTTCTGAAATTTGTGAAGCTCTGATTTTGCTGAAACAATGCCGGTGGCAAAGGCTTGGCTATCCGGCTTGAGTTCGTCATAGCGATTGTAAGTAACACTGTGGGCAGTCTAGTTGTGCCTCTCTTTGTGAAGGGATACATGTATGGCTTTCGGATCCTTCAGATCCTTTGTGTATCCTCATGAACATCATTAGGCAATGAAGCTCTCTAATGAGAGTATGGTTTATCTAATGAATGGTTGGATGTTTCATCTTTTTTTGAGATTTGCCAGTGCCTTATTGTTTTGTTTTCTTGTAGCTCATCATCTGCTTAGGGCGTCTCTAACGAAACCCTTATCCTGTAACTTCTCAAATGATCTGTCAAACTTTAATGCTTGAAATATTAGGCGTTAAAATGCGGCTAACCGAACATCTATATTTAACTCTCTATTTTTTTAAACTAATTCTTGCATCCTTTGTGACATACACATTTCAAACAATTGCATGGTATTTCACCATTTTTTGAATAGTTCAAGTTTGTCTAATCGAACAATTCAAATTATAACATGCATATACTTCATCCAAAAGAAACAAAATCAATCAATTCTACCCAAAGAATCGGTGGAGCCGGTAGGCAGCAGTTGGTGGGGCAGTTAGTGTCGCAATAGATGGTCAAAAAAAAATCTTCTAAGGGGGCGCTGCCCCGGGGTTCTCTCTCTCTCTCTCTCTCTCTCTCTCTCTCTCTCTCTCTCTCTCTCTCCATGGATGGGACATGGTCCACATCCATGGGCTGGGGTGGGAGTCGTGGGACTTCTTCGTGAGCATGTGTCTTTGGTCGCCGGATCCCTCCGGTGCAATAGTGTCGGCAGCCTAGGGAGCCGCGGAAGCAACCCGCATAGTCGGTTCAGCCAATGGGGCCGGCTGAGCAGAAGGCGGGGTCTTGCTGACGGTCTTTTTGGTCTTCGTGAACATAGATCTCTGCTTGCCAGATCCAATAAAAAAAGACGACTGTCAGGCCTTCGGCCTAATTCAACAAATCAAGTACAAGCAAATATCAAAGTTGTAACTAGAACTACCGTGATAATTAAAGTAATGAATATTAGTGCAATTTCGGACGCATGGAGGCATGCGGACGGTGCGGACGCATTCGACTGTATCCCTAGAAAAGAGGACCAATAAGGGTTTCCCTAGGTGAGCAGCACATCCCTGAATCTACCGGGGATTCAGGGCCTTGGAAATAGTTATGTTGGAGTAATTTTCCTTCTATTTTCTGTTATTCTGTTGTGTTAACCCTTATTTTGCCGTGCTCTTTTTAGCTGGACCAGAAAAGTGAGGGCACCTGGTTTTGTTTGACCACGATACTGGAGACTCCGAGGGTTTTTGCCTACTTCAGTGTTTACGGGCCTGCAATTTCTGGACCAGAGACTTGTATACAACCATTTCCAAACCGTCCCTGCATGTCAGTCACTTCCATTTTGCTTCTTATGATGCTTCACTTTGTTATTACAGAGTATATGGTCATTGTTTATCAAGAAGAGCTTTGCTACAAAAGTTAGTATTTCTGATTCTATCTACCATGCTTTCATTAGCGTTTGCTTTGGTTGTGTTCTCTTATTTAATTTGCACTCAGGAATCAGGCTTGATCATAATCTATATATATTATCACTGGCATTAAAGAGTTAGGGAGCTTGCAACTAAAAGGTACATCCAAAATATCTTACACAGCAAAATAATCTGTTGGAGATATGCAAGGTTGCTGTGCTTCATTTGTAAGTTTTCTCTAATAATACTATGTTACTTTCTTACCAGGTTATGAGTTTGCGTGAGTTTGTAGAGGTCAATAAGAAGTCTGTTGCGCTTGCGCTCAAGGATGGTCTTGGTAAGAGGCTTCCTGATATCGTTTTAGTAGTTTTCTGTGCCTTTCTCTTTCCATGAATTAATGGTCACTGCTAATGTATCAGTAACATCTTTTATTCCTAGAAAATTGATTGCTTTGACGACAGGTTACTCATGAACTGATGTGGGGGTTAAGGAATGTGCTGTATGATTATAGTGCCAGCGAGAAAATCCCTGAGAGTGTGCAAGCCGCCCGCCGCTGCCAGCGAGATGCCACCGCCGGGATGCGCGAGGCGGCTATCGTTGCCACGCGAGCCACTGTCGGGACATGCGAGGAGGAGTTGTGCCTTGTTCCGGGCACCAATGTGTCGTCGCCCACCGCGTCACCCGACACGCCGCGGCCCCGATTCACCGCCGCCTTGCCATCCATGTACAATGACTCAACTTGTTGCACCTCACACACTGGAATTCACCTCCACCATGCCGGATGGCCCTGCCTCCTCTCGGGTTCTGAGTGATTCCATATATTCTTGGCTCTATAATTCTGGTTTGTCATTATCAACAAAAGAAATCTACAAATTCTCTTGTATCTCCTCCTCCTTTGGTAGAGGTGTCTAAAATCCTAACCTCTTGGCATTATTCTATTTGTCATTACAGCCCGAACAAGAGATTCAAACGCTCTGGTTTATATGCATCTACGGGTGAGTTCTTAATTTTGTTCAATTTTCTCCACAACATGGTGGGTGTGCGTCCTTGCAATGGCATGGTGATAGCAAGGAAATCGAGTGTCACCACTCTTTCTCTATTCAGGTGCACTTCAGTTTTCTGATGTGCTACTTTGTTCTACATGTTGGCCAATTGTTATCTCTGGAGTGCTTAATCTGTGTGCGTTTTTGTAGGAATATTCCATGTGTCATTGCTACCAGTTCTACTGAAAATCAAAAGGCTGCTATATTATTGCCACTTTAAAGCCAGGGATCTAGATTATTTCCCTGTACGTATTTGTGCTATAGATGTAAAAAAATAGTGATATTCCTGCTACTTTACAGGATTCCTGGCACTGTTATGCAGGAGTGTTGGCAACTATAATTCAGATTCCGTTTACTATGAAAGAATGAACTACAAGAATTGTTTTGTAATCGTAGGACTTCTTGTGTTATGAGAGTAGCTAGCAAGTGTTATTTTTGATTTATGATGTTATGATATAGGAGCCATATGCAAGGGTCTTCTTTTGCAAAAAATAAAATAAAAATGCAAGGGTCTTGAAGTCGACTCTGATATTTCCAGGTTTATGTAGTGGTAACAAGTGATTTACCACTCCGATGTTATATAAATGTATATCTTCTTCAGTGTCATAATGCCATGTAAACAAAACACATTAGTTGTTGAAATTCATAGTTATAA